TCCCTCTCATTTTCCCCAATTTCTCTGTCCGTTCTTCTCTCTCTTCCCTAAAATGATCCCTCTTTTCTGTTTCTACTTATTCTTTTCTCTTTTTTCTCCTTTCCCTCTCTCTCTCCTCATTCACTTCTTCTTTCCCCTTTCCTATTTTCTCCTTCCCTCTTCCCCTCGTTCAATTCCCTTCCCTCTTTTCCCTCTTTGCTCTCTTCATCATTTTCCCCTCTTTTCTATCTTTATGCCTATTACCCCTTTCCATATCTTCCCTCCTCTTTCCTCTTTATTCGGCCATTTCCCTTCCTTCCTTTCCCCTTTTCTTCTCTCCCCCATTCCCTTTCCTTCTTTCCTCTTCTTTCCTTCCCCTCTTCCTTCTTCTCCCCCCTTCCCCTCTTCCCCTATTCCCTTCTTTTCCTTCCCCTCTTCCCCCACCCCCATTCCCTTCCTCCCTTCCCCCTCCCATTCCCCACCCCTTCACCTTCCCCCCCTTCCCTCCCCCCACCCCTCCCCTCCCCTTCCCCTCCCCCTCCCCTTCCCCCTTCCCTCCCCCTTCCTTCCCCTCCCCCCCTCCCCCCCCTCTTCCCCTTCTCCCCCCATCCGCAAGAGCCCCCAAGTCCGCGTCGCCAACTGTCGCTCCGCCGAGAGAATCGCGCAGGAAACACCGCCATTAAAATCCCGCAGCGGCGAAGGGGCCTTGTTTTATGTCCCCCACGCCAGCCCCTAGTAAACGCCGCCGCCCGCGCCCTCGCTACGCCCGGTATGGTGGGCGCCGGTTCCTCGTATATCATGCTAAGTGGGAATTAGGAAGAGCCTCACTTTTTTTTTTTTTTTGACGTATCTTCTCTGTCTTTTATCCATTCTGTTCCTTTTTTTCTTTCTTTTTGTCTTTCTGTTCCCCTTTTTTTTTTACTCATCTTCTCTCTCTGTTCTTCCATTCCGTTGCTCTTTTTTCTCTTTCTGTTCCTTATTTTTATATTTTATATTTTTTTACTCACCTTCTCTCTCTTTCTTCCATTCCTTTGATCTTTTTTTCTTTTCTCTTTCTGTTCCCTTTTTTTTTTGCACCTTATCTCTTTCTTCCAACCCTTTGCTCTTTTTTTTTTTCTCTTTCTCTTTCTTTTTTTTTATTCACCTTCTCTTTCTTCCATCCCTTTGCTCTTTTTTCTTTTTCTCTTTCTGTTGTTCCTTTTTTTATTCACATTCTCTTTCTTCCATTCCTTTGCTCTTTTTTTCTTTTTCTCTTTCTGTTGTTCCTTTTTTTTATCTATTTTTTTTCCTCACTTTCTCTTTTCTTTCCATTCATTTGCTTTTTTTTTTCTTTCTCTCTTTCTGCTGTTCCTTCCTTCTTTTCATTTCCTTCTCTTCTATTTTTCTTTTTCGGTTTCAATTTCTTCCCCTTCCTCATTTTATATCTCCTTTTCTCCTCTCCTTTCTATTCTTCTTTCTCTTTCATTCTCCATCTCCCCCTTCCTTTCTTCTTTCTCCCTCCTCTCTTAATCTCCATCTCCTCCTTCTATTATCCTTGTCCTCTTTATCTCCGTCTTTTATAGTGCATCGGAAAAAGGGGAGAGGGAGAGGGATAAATGAGGGGGAAGCGAGGGACAAGGAAGAGGGAGGAGGGTTGGAAGAGAATGAGGGGGTGAGGGAGAGGATGATAAATGAGGGAGAGGGAGAAGGAATAGGGAGGAGGAAGGAGAGGAGGAGGAGAGGAAGGGAAGGGAGAAGAAGGAGGGAGAAGGAAACTTCGCTAAATTGTCCTTCTAGTACTAGTATTCAGTTCTCGTATTCCTCTCTCTCTCTCTCTCTCTCTCTCTCTCTCTCTCTCTCTCTTCTCTCTCTCTCTCTCTCTCTCTCTCTCTCTCTCTCTCTCTCTCTCTCTCTCTCTCTCTCTCTCTCTCTCTCTCTCTCTCTCTCTCTCTCTCTCTCTCTCTCTCTCTCTCTCTCTCTCCTCAATGTACACCTATCATTAAAAGCAAACTCCCCTACGACCACCTACCATTCTTCTCCACCATCAGCCCAAGATACTTAAACAGAGCTACCATGTCCACGAGTTGAGATAAGCGCTCTTTCTCCCATCTCTCCTTATCTCTCCGCTCTCTTATCTCTCCACCTGCGCCACCTCCCCGAATTTCTGTTGTCTCTCACCTCCGGCAACTTGGTTCGGTATAATGGCTGTCCCATTAAAGGCTAAGTTGATCTTTCGAACATCTGCTCTCTCGTTACCATACAGGTCGCTGCCACTGGTAATTATGTGCTATATCAGCACACATAAGTGTCTCTATTAGAGCTATATTATCGCTCTTTATAACTTAACTATGGTCGTATGTACACGCCACAACCCCTATCCCTTTCCTCCTATCCTTTGTCAGCATCCTCTTCCCCTTCCCTCTATCCTATATCACCGTCCTCCCTTCTTTTTCCTCTTCTCCTTCTCCTATATCAGCATAACCCTCCCTTTCCTCCCCCTCCCTTTATCCTATATTGCCATCTCCCCTTCCCCTTCCTTCCCCTTCCTCTGTCCTCTATCAGCATCCCCTCCTCTTCTCCCTCCCCCTCCCCTTCCCCTTCCCTCTGTCCTCTATCAGCATCCCCTCCTCTTCTCCCTCCCCCTCTCTCTCTCCCCCCATTTGCCACATCAAGAGATCTTGGCCAACCACGGCGGCGGTCGAGAATTTTCGCCCTCCAGTCGGCGTTAAGATAATTACAGGCAATTAAAAGAAGTTAAATAGATTAGCAGGAGCCATGAAATCTTCGGAGCAAGAAGGGCAGTGCATAAAATTCCTTCTTTTTTGGGGGTACCGGCAGTTGAACAGAACATTTGAAATACGCAAATGTGTCTTATGCCTAAACATGTAAAGTCGTACAGGTTCTCGAGAATACTAAAGACACAAAATGCGCCACAATTCACTTTTTTAGCGGAACATTTGGGAGCGAAATCTTACAAGATAATAGACAATGTTTCTTAAAGTATCCGATAAACAGGAATCGAATCGGAATCCCTTTTTGAACTGATAAAAAACAAAATATAAGCGGATTAAGAGAAGCACTAGATCCTTTACATATAATTTCATATACAAATTGTCCTCTAGCACTATGTGACTTATTATTACTTCTCAATTATGCTCCTTATCGAGATGTACATAGAGAGTAGCCTATAGCAGAGATATAACCAAAGTTTTAATAATTTTTATGCATATATACGATTCATTTTCACGCGGTATTTACAGTACACTCTCACACAGTAGCTAATAGTATTTACGTGTCAGCAAGATAAAAGCTATAATTTTTCAATATCAATTCTTAATATTGTGGTGTAACGGGTATATAAAGTATTTTACTTGAGTACATGTCGCTCACTTCATCTCCACATCAAAACAGATGTCAGAACAAATCGAAAATATTCACAAAGACAAGTCACATAGTTTGGGTTGATCTTAATGTGTTTTGGGCCACTTTCTTGCCACAGACATTTACTAACTATATGTACTTTATATTTTGGACTTATTCACTAATAATCTTCGTCTTTATACGGATGCCGTTGTATCATTATCTCTGTCTTTTATCTAAACTGTCTGTATGGTAATAATGATAATGCTGGTGAATGATAATGAAATCTTTACTGCTACTGCTCCTTTTATCCAAGCTACCACTGCTACTTCTACTACTGATAATGGAAATCTTCCATTTATATACACAACACACACACACACACACACACACACACACACACACACCACACACACACACACACACACACACACACACCATATATATATATATATATATATATATATATATATATATATATATATATATATATATATATATGTGTGCTTGTATTGAAAAAATACCTCACATACCAACATACAATCCCCCCTCCCTCCCCACCCACCACCCATCCCGAAAGGACCGCCCAGCGCCTTCCTTCCGCTGAAGCCGAAACTAACCCGCCTTAATCGCAGGGTTCCGGCTCTGCGGCTCTCAGAAAGAAGCCTTATCGCCGCCTCGCATCTCCCGGGTTCCGACGAAGGGAACAGGCAGAGCGAATCGTGGGGTGGCCTCTTGGGGGAGACGCGGGGTTGGGGGGGGTGGGGGTGGGGGGGGGAGGAAGAGGGGCTTTAGAGACTGCGAGACGATCCGGGGAGGAGGTGTGAGGGGCGTCGTTTTTTTTTTTTTTTTTTTTGAGTGGGGGGGAAGGTGGGAGGGGGAGGGGGGGAGGGGGGGGGGGATGGGAGGGGAAGGGGTGGGGGAGGGAGGGGAAGGGGAGGGGAAGGGGAAGGGGAGGGAGGGGAGGGGCCTGGGAGGGGAGGAGACGGAAGGGGAGGGGTCAAAGGAGTGGTGGATTCTTTGGATTTTGTAATACTAAATTTCAGGAATCTAAAAGTATAAATGTATATTCACTATATATATGTATATATATATATACGCGTGTTTGAGTTATTCCAACGATTTCCGAAAAAAAATAAAAACCGGATGCAATACAGTGAAAACTCCCTTTTTCAATAAAATAAGCCGTAATTAAGTGATTGGTAAATAAACACTATTTTCTCAAGAAACCCCCCATTTCCAATTTTCGAATCAAACAACAAATCTCTTTTATTAATCCTTTCCTTTCCTCCTTTAACTCCATCGCTCGATTTCCATTTATATTCCATTTATATACACAATTACCCACAAATTACCCACATACAATTACCACACAATTACACACAACAATTACCCACACACATTACACACAAACAATTACCCACATATTACACACATACAATTACCCACACAATTACACACATACAATTACCCACACAATTACACACATTCAATTACCCACACAATTTTACCCACACAATTACACACATACAATTACCACACAATTACACAATAACACAATTACACAATACAATTACCCAATTACCCACATCACACAAACAATTACCACACAATGTCACACCCACATACAATTACACGGCCCTTCCGGAATCTAACCCCCCGCCCTCTTCTTCCCCCGGCAG